ACAAGAAAGAGCAAAGCTCTTCAGATTAATAGCTGGGGCTGACCCTGGCTGCATGAGCAAGCCCAGGTGGCTGTGAGCAGCTGCAGAAGAAACCAGGGGACGGCCAGAGAGGAAATACTCTTCTGGTGAAGCATGGCCCAGCAAGCTCAAGCATCGTGGAGGAAAGAGCAAAACCCCTCTGTTTAGTTCTTCTTGTCATCTTTGCAGATGCTTATGCACTCAGTTAAATTGGGGCAATGCCAATGGCCCTGTGGAGTCAGCAGCATGTCTGTGCTTTTGCCCACAGGAACAGAGTCTGCAAGCGGGGTTACTGGGGCTGCTGCATGCTGCTCTGTGCCCGAAGCCACTTCCAGCATCTCCCAGCAAAGCAGAGACCAGAGATCTGGTCTGCTGTTCTTAAGTCCTTCATGAATTATTTTTCAGTCCCAATGTGAAGCAGGGTTTGGAAAAGCTAACAATTATTTTTATTTTTCAGATCTTCTGTTTGCTTCCAGGGCAGACTACAGTGGCTTTGTTTGCAGAATATCACTGGTGTATTTCCACGAAAGATTTTGAAACTTCTTTGCAACGTTTTTAGACCTCCTTCAGAAAAAGTACTGAATAATTCTGAAAGTATCTGAAGGGAAAAAAAATTATCTTTTCATGGAAAAAATATATTTTTATGAATAGCCTTTGCTATTTTTCCAGTAAAATGAAGCTGCTGCTTCTCTGTGACTGTAATTGCAAATCCTACTGCCACTTTTCCATCGTGTTTAATATACTTAGAATAAGTTGAACACACACATAATGGGAAGACTGGGGTCTTCAAGACAGAGTTTGTTGACTCAAGAGTGCAGACAGTTTTTTGTGCCAGCCCCAGTGCTGCACAGCACCTGGGCTGAACTGTGGATACAGGGAGGCTGTGGTGGGATACCACTATGGGATGCTGGGGATGTGACTGGTCACCCTATCCCTTCCCAGGGCTTTCCTCTCTGACAGCAGATAGCTCAGCATCACCATAAATACCTCCTGAGCTATTTCCATTTAGGACCTGCCCCATTAAAGCATCAAGTTAACTGTAACTGCTCCATGCTCCCCACTGCTGGGCAGCATCCTTCCTCCAAGGGAAGAGTGGGTAGCCCAGCCAGGAGAAGTGATGGCTTGCTCTGCCATGTGATCTGCCCGGGGTTGTGCGTCACATCCTCAGGCACATGTGTGTGTCCTCAGGCACATGTCTGTCTTCACACATATCAGGAATTTCCATTAGTTTCAGTGTGGGATGATTCACAAGCTGAAATGTAACCAGGCAGTGGAATCCCTGGCAATAGGGACTACCTGCCTGAGCTCAGCCTTACCCAAGCTGTCCTAGTTTAAACTCTCAGGCAGTAAAACACCCAGCCTCCAGCCACAGAAAAAAAGCAAAGCAGATATTCTGGCTTTTTCTACCCAAACTAGAAACACACTTTTTGTTAGTCTGGGCTAAATCCCCCAACCCAAATCTATTAGGGAACTTCCCCACCTCTCCAAATCAGCCTGAGCAACAGAGACACCCACTCTGTGGATGCAGGAGGGTTTTGCTGCAAGGGAAGAGTATGTCACTGGAGGATTTATCCACAGGTATTTCTTACTGGTTTTCCTGTGCTGAACCCGGGCTGTCTGAGCAAGAGATGGTGCTGTTCAAGCCCTCTTCTGCCTGGGACCTCAGCTGCTTCTCCCGCTCCCGCCGCCGCCGCTCTCTTGCCGCCTCTTCCTCGTCTTCCACACTCCACTGTGCTGTCAGCCTGTCAAGTCAGAGGGAAAACCCATTCTTAATGCTGAGCAGTGCCTGTGAAACCTGGCAATAACCCTCTGAGGTGCCTGGACTTCCCCCAGCAAACAGGAGGCTCCAGCAGAGGAGTGCTCCCACCATGAACCGTGGTCCTCAAAGCAACATCCCCAACATCCATCTGCACAGCTCCACAGCAGGACCAACCAATGTGCAAGGATAAGGTGGGTTACATGGACTGGGAGAAGGCTGCAGGAGAGCCTTTCCCAAAGCCAAGGAATATGTGGTGTGTATCCCCCTCCTCCCAGACCAGCCAACTTCCCTACAACGCAGCTTTGCACCCCGGAAGGGATTTGTAAAGGGTCTTCCAGTGCTGCAAGAAATATCACACCCTCATCTTAGGCTTTGTCCCAGGGAGGGCAAAATCTGCACCCTCAAGCAGCTGATACGCTCCTACCTGACCAGGTGCAAAGGGAACAGTGCCAGAGGGCAGTGGCTGTGCCCTTCTCTGCCCTTCCCAGCCTCTTTCCACCTCTGCAGAGAAGAAAAACCTGCCCTGGCTTCTCCCAGACACCTCAGGTGCTGGATAATAACTCCTCTGTCAGCAGAATGGTCTCTTACACCCCTGAGGAAGTGATAAGGGAGCTGCCACACTCCAGCATCAATGCTGGCCCCCATACAGGATCAGCTCCTTCTTCACACTGGCAGCACCAGCCAGGATGCAGGCAGAAAGGGACGTGACACCACAGCATGATCACTGCTCACCCAAAGAGTCTGTGACGGCAGCTGCACCAAGGCAGGTCTGACCTGTGGTACCTGGGGCTGACACTGGGGCAGATGCTCCCTCACCCCACTCCATGAAGGCTGTTTTCCCTGGTGCTTGCAAGACTATTTAGAGAAACACTCCTGTGCAGAGCATGCACACAGGAGTCAGGAAGGCGATCTCCCACCAGCAGCATCACCCCTTTGCGGGGTGGTCCCCCCTCCATCCTGGCAGGAGGCTAGGGGTGATCCTGCAGCCCTGAGCTGGACAGAGACAGGCCGCCCATCCTGGCTGAGCTCACAGGGAAGCAGGGAGCAAAGCAGATCCCAGAACCAGGCCAAGAGACGGCTCCACGGCAGTGTAACTACTGCTTGCCTTATTTTGGGTGGGGTCTTTGGCAAGCAGCAAATTCAGCCATCCTTCCCCCTTCTACCCCATCTCGCCCCTGGCCACCTTGAACAAAGTGGACCCGGACTAGAGCTTGGGCTCCCCTCCTCCCTTCCCTACTCGTCCCACACTCCTATTTATTATTTCCCCCCAGGTTCCCATAGAAACCCTTGTCTGTGGGCCTGGCAGGAAGCCACCGTGTTGTTGTTGGGGTTTTTTTTTAATATATAAATGAAGTCATTCATTAAACTCTGCCATGATCTCCCTCCCTTGTGCAACAGCTCCAGATAGTCTCTGATTTGGAAAGACTCTTAACCCCCTATCACCCATATCACTCCACCTTACAAGAAGCAAGGTCCATGCTTATGCCAGAACAAGTTAGATTTTGATTTAATTCCCTGGCCCCCTCCTCCAGCTCCTTGGGAAGCTGCTGCAGAGGCAACACTGCACCAAACCCCTGGTTTGGCTGGGGTGCAGGGGGGAGCTGGGTGGGGGTCCCCTCCGAACCACATGAGCTTCCTGCAGTGTGAAAGCAACACTGGTTGGCAGCCCTCTCCTTTCCCAGTTGGATGTGACTAACTCTCTCCCCATGACCTCACCGGCTCGCTATTCTGTCCCTGCATCCTCCGAACAGGCTGGGGACAGAGCTGGGGGCGACCATTTTGGGGAGATGGATTTTTCTGCAAAAGCAGGGAAAGAACTTTCCGAGCTCCTTTTGTCACAGAGCAAACCAGCCTCCAAGTAGCCCACAACCATGCTGGGATGCAGCTCAGACACACATCATGGCTGGGATGCGGCTCAGACACACATCATGGCTGGGCTGCGATGCTGGGAGCTCCGTATCTGCTCCTCTCAGCAATAAGGGCACCCTCCAGCAAACACCTAAAACAGTTTATTAGCAGATTCAGAGCTCAAACAGGCTGGCAGCAGAGCAAGGTTTAATAAGCAATGCTTTGGGGTTCAGCAGTCACATCAACAAGCTGAGGGAAAAGGACAATTCCTTTTTGACTGACCCAGCAGCACAAACATTTGTGAAGTCTTCAGTGAAAAAAAAAAAGAAGCAAACAAAAAAATACCCCAAACAAATAAGAAACTAAATCTCACCAAAGTCCTTGCATTTGGGTCAGCTACAAGTTGGGCCGTAGACAGAATGTGCCATTTCTATTTGGACAAGCCCAAGTGTGAGGAAGGGGTCAGCTGTTAAATTGCTTTTCAAAGCAAAATGGTGGAAAGATTTAATTTACAAAGAGCTCCATTTTCTAAGAAGGGGCCGCAGTCTCCTGTTTGTTCTAATTGCTCGCAATCACATTCCGCAGCCTGATGTGCTCAGCCTACAGTGGTATTGCACAACCATATTTCCCATTTCTAGAAATAATTTCCCAGCACTTCAGGGTCCAGCTGATGCCATGTATCACTCTGCCTTTACCTCCAGCCTGCATGTTCCCAGGTCAGTCCCAGGCTGGAGAACCTTGGGGAAGAAATAGGCTTATAGCTGCTGCTGTGTCAGAGAGCTCCCCACTTCATTTCACCCAACACGAGATAGGGAAATGGAGAATAAGAAGACTTCGAGACTTGCAAGGTGAGCAACAGAGTACTACACTCCCACATTCAGTCACCTCCCTATAAAGAGCAATTTTCATGTGATGGGAAAGGAAATTCATTCCCTCATGAAAACATTAGGAGAACTGGAGGAGGGAGGGAGGATAGAAAACTCTCTTTGCTGCCCCAGCAGCTAGGAGCTGTGGCAAGGCTTGCTCCGGCAAGACCTCATCATGAGATTGGATCACTTCTCTTTATGCATTCCCTAGCCAGCCAGCAGCTTTTGGAGGTCTTGACTGGGGGTGTTGGTCAATGAGAAACTGAACATGAGCTGGCTTCAGTGTGCACTTGCAGCCTGGAAACCAACCGTGTCCTGGGCTGCATCAAAAGAAGTGTGACCAGTAGGTCAAAGGAGGTGATCCTGCCCCTCTACTCTGCTATCATGAGACCTCATTTGGAGTACTGTGTACAGTTCTGGTGTCCTCAACATAAGAAGGACATGGAGCTGTTGGAGCAAGTCCAGAGGAGGGCCACGAGGATGAGAAGGGGGCTGGAGCACCTCCCTTATGAAGACAGGCTGAGAAAGTTGGGATTGTTCAGCCTGGAGAAGAGAAGGCTGCGTGGAGACCTCATAGCAGCTTTCCAGTATCTGAAGGGGGCCTACAAGGATGCCACAGATGGACTCTTCATCAGGGACTGCAGTGATACGACAAGGGGAAATGGGTTCAAACTTAAACAGGAAAGTTCAGGTTAGATATAAGGAAGAAGTTCTTTACAGTGAGGGTGGTGAGGCACTGGAACGGGTTGCCCAAAGAAGTGGTAAATGCTCCATCCCTGGCAGGGTTCAAGACCAGGTTGGGCAGAGCCTTGGGTGACATGGTCTAGGGTGAGGCATCCCTGCTCATGGCAGGGGGGTTGGGACTGGGGGGTCTTCAGGGCCTTTCCAACCCGAACCATTCTGTGATTCTGTGATTTGGGGCAAGATACTCTTTGTGGAAGGGGCTTATCTCTTCCTGAGAAGGTGAGGAGATCCTGCAGGTCTAAGGATAGGCCGAAAACACCTTGATTCAGCTTTGGCCATAGAGTCACAGCTTGCCAAGCATCTGGGATGCTGAAACTTCTGCTCTGACAGGGTCCAGCTGCTCATTTCAGATCTAGCTCTTGACTTCACCTCCCTCCAGACCCCCAGCCAGTGGAGGGATTTTATTTCCATTTGCCCTACAAAACACCTCCTCTTCCTCCTGCAGAACAATTACACAGGCACCCACACTCTGGCTGCACTGTTCCACGTGGCCACGAATGCCTGCTCCAGACAAGCCAGTGTTGATGGAAATGTCAAGTTTCCTATGGGCATTTCCTCACCGGCACTTGAGGAGATCATAACATTCAGGCAAGGGAAATTTCTGGCACCAGATGAGCTGTGTTTAAGGGAAACGTTGCAGACTCGAGGAGTCTTCTGCATGGCTGACGGCTCAAACGAAGCTTTGCTGGCCCAAACCCAACCTTCGGCACTAAAGCTAATTCCAGAAAGGAAAATGAAATGCCTCCCAGAGGGTTTGAGCTTTGCAGATCCGCACCAGACAAACCCAGGAACCCTCTACCAGCACATTAAACATTCCTGTCTCCTGAGCTCACCAGGGTATCGGGCCAGGACAGTGTTGACTTTGGTCGCTGCCTCTGTCGGGTAGGCTGCCCCCGCAGAGCCAAGGTTCATGAAGGAAGAGGTTTTGGGAACAGGGTTTAGAAGGAGCCATGTGCAGCCCCTGGCATGATGGACACTGTTTCTCAGAAGATAAGTTGTCCCATCACCTGCAAAAGCAACAGCGCCTACGACCACCACCCGCAAGAGATGGGGCTACATGAACGAGAGAAGAACTGGGAAGGGTAGCACTGTATGCCCATCAGACTTCCTACTGGCCTCTCTCTTGAGGTTGGAAGAAAGGGACATGCCAGAAACCTATGCAAGAGTCCTTCCCCTGTAATCCACTGCAGCCTCTGTTGCCTTGTCATGGTGCTAGATACAATACTGGTGCAGAATATGGCCCAGGGCTGTCAACAAGTTCATCCTGCCACCAAGCAGAACTGCCAGGCTTTATTTCAAGTTTACCATCCATTTATGTAGGGCCCAGACATGATTGGCAGGAGTATGGGGATATGCAGCTCACCCTGTCACATGAAATGGAAGAGGACACCCTCAAAAGGCACCTTCCTCACTCATTTGACCTTCAGCCAACAAATTAATCACTTATTAATCTCTTATAAATGGCATATAAGGAAACCATGTGACTGAGTCAGGTATGCTCAAGTACCCAGATAATGCCTCCACT